GACCCAGCTTTCATTCTCTTGTCTGTCTTTTCTCAATCCTTTCAACCCCCACTCAGGATCACCTTTGGCCGTAACATTTCTCCATTCAGATTTAGATATCTGATAACTTACAGGAGACACAGCCTCCAAACCAGAAAGCAAGCGCCCCCCCTCCAAAAGAGTCCTGGCCAGTTGCTCAATGGTTAGAGCACTGAAGGTTAGGGATTCAATTCCTGTTCAAGGATATGTACCTAGGCAGCAGGTCTTGATCCCCGGCCCCAATTATCTCCCTACTGGGGGCAATCTGGCTACAGGATTCCACAACTGTTAAGGGCCGTTAGAAAACACTCTGGCTTAATTTACCTCAGCTGAAATTCAGAGGTGAGGGCAAAGCAACGCCCTGAAGGCAGGACCAGTCAAGAGATTGGATGCCACTCAGTCTGACTCTCCCACCCAGTGTTAAAGGGATGGATCTCATGATGTTGAAGGCCCACCCAGATGTGATGTAACTTCCTATAATTCGAGTATATAATAAACAGCTTTCAGAGCTGGCTCTCTCTGTGCCTGTCCCTCCATCAGAAGGCAGGTTCTCTCTGTCCCTCAAGTCAGAGGGCAGAGACCACACCCAGCCCAAGCTTTTAATCTAATTTTATATCTGTCTTTCAATATTCTTAATCCCAAAAGCGCCTCATAACTTGCACAAACCGGTTCACGTCTCCCCCTCCATGCGGGATGCGGAGAAGAGACCACAGCCCCAGCGTGCCCACCATACACAACTATTTCCAGTGAGTTGAAAAAGTACACCAAGCATAGTTTTTCCTAGTAATCTCTAACTTTAATACACCTAACCACACGCTACTCCACCCCCATGTATTTTTTGGAAATTATCCAAATCCTCTCTTTAAAGTCAAGCTTTCACTGTAGTTTTTATTCCCCAGTTTGTACATGCCAGTTATTCTTTACAGTCATACTAACAAAATGTTCTCTGCAATGCACATGAACGTATTTCATTCAATAAACAGAACAGATTACTTATTTATAATGCTGCTTCTCTAACAGACAAAACCAGATAATTATGATGACAATTACAGTGTTTAAACTAGGGCTAAAGCATTTTGAAAACCAAATACCCAAGATCTGCTCCATGAGAGTTCTCAACCTAGAAAGCCAAAAGTCCATGGAATAAGTTCTTATTGGATGAGTTAACTACTTGTAGTTCAGACTATGAATTAGAAGCTCTAATCCCATTTCTACCAGCAACTTATCATGATTCTTTAAATAAACAACCTAAAAACCTTAATCATGAGTTAGGAAATGTAAACTACACAATGCACCTATGTTGTCTACTTCTGAGTTGTTATGTCAAATACGAAAATGTTTTCTAAATTACAAAGCACAATACAAATGTAAAATTATTTTATCCAGGATGACTCCTTTAGTGCTTTGTAAGCAAAATCCATGCCTAGTCCTCGAGTTTTCTGGCTCCTTGAAAGAATTTACTTTAACAAACATAGTCTCACAAGAAGTGAATCTGATGAGGACTTTCTCTATAGACTTCTGAAACTGATGAAGATATCAAATGATTCATCTTAAGCCTGGTTCACCAAAAAAACATAATTATTTAGTACATTAACATTTTCAGAGGACCAAACTTGAAACTACAATTCTTGTATATATTCTTTAATATGGCTTGAAAATAAGATCTTACCTGAAAACTACATGAATACCCTCAGATAAGCACTTACTCTTATACTTTCATTATGTAGAAATTTAAAAATTGGTATAAACATTAGCAATGTTATCAATGAGTTAACCTTTTGCAAGACCTCAAGAATCTAGAAACCCTAAAGCTTTTTCACCCTCTATCTGGTTCATGAAAGGTTACAACATCATTAAATGAAGCTTTCCAAGGCCCTTCAAATATATATTTTTAAAAATATTCTTGTACAATGAGAATTCAGAGGCAACAGAGCAAATCACATTTTCATCTGAAAATTTCTTTTCCAGTGAGCATCTTCTGAATTGGAAGAAAAAACTCTGGATGTTAAAAACCAGGGCCTATAAACTCTTCCACACCTGCTCTCCCTAGAGCCAGAACTTCAAACTTAAGAGATCAGTTTCAGTTCTTCTGATTCAAAAATCAGCAAGAACGTCAATTCCCAAACAGAAAGGGCAATCCACAGTCAGTCTGGCTATTTAGGCCCCGAAGGGAGTCACTAGGTATAATCTACCACTATAAGAGATTTCATCAACTTTGAGATCAAAGCGTTTGAGATAAAGTACATTTATTTTGATTCCCCATCCCTTAATCTTTGAGAAGGCACATCTGGTAAAACAATCCACAGCTGGACTCTTGCCAGAGAAAAAGATACTCATTAGTCCCTTGCTCACAGAGGAGTTTTCCATTTGGAAAAACAAATATATACAAGCACACTGTAGATTTATGTCCTGGAGAAGAGAAGAAACAGGGTACAAGTACCTAAAACATTTGCAGATTAATTTCACTGGCCTATGGCCTAATTACCATGAATCCGGTCTAAGGATAAGACTCTACACACAGTATCTTTTCAATCATTTACAAGTGTTTAGATGACCCTATATGTGATATCCTTACAAACAAGATGGATAAATCTTAGCTAAATGCTAGAAGGTTGCTGATTAAATAATCCATGTTAATTTAGAAGAGAGTTGCAACTGGAATAAAGAAGAGCTCTCTCCTGCTGGCTCCAGACAAAGAATTATGCCATGCTCATTGTTTTCTATTCATAACATATACATATTTTTTTAAACTGGCTACCAGGAAGTACTCATTCACTAGTGGTAGAGATATTTCTGTGTAGGCTGGGCAATGCCCATTTCCTAGTTTCAAAAGGCAATTATGTGCAGAAATTTTCCAGCATGAGAAGAAGAAAAATACTTGATGGGTATATGTACATCTGTGTGTACCGAACAGCAATCCATCTACCCAACTTGTCTTTTTTCCCCTTTACCTCAAGGGCCTTTTAACATTTTTAAACTGCCAGAAATATATTTGAGATTTAAAAGCACTTAAACAGGTAATATAATGCTATTTTTAACAATGACAATTTGGGTTAAAAAGAGCTAACATTATATCCAACCATCTCTTGGCTCTAGACAAAAAGCATAGAAATAGGGCTTTACTGAAACAGATTACATCTGACATGATCAAACACCTTCTCCCAATTTACCTTAAATTATCTCTAACCAAAATATTAATCAAGATGCTCCCTCTTCTCCCTTCTCATAATTTGTTTTCTTCGCAGGGGAGGGAGTTAAAAGTGAAATGTCAAAACGTACTTTTTCAAAAGATTTGGAACAAGGCAAAAAAGCAAGAAGTGATTTCCTTTTGCCCAAAGTCACCCAATGAGGCATTAATTTGAGAACACTGTCCTAATAAAGCAACTGCTATGGAAATTCAAAGGACTTTGTATATCCTAAGGAACTCACGAAACTGTAATGCTGTCATTCTCAAGATTTAGGAATATGGAACATCAGTTTTTTAACAACTGTTGGATAGGAACATCATCCTTCAGACTCATCATGAGGGGAGATCTTACCAAAAAGTAACATTAATGAATTCATGGGAAAATATGTTTCATCATCAATAACCAGCTAAGCCTTAAAGAGAGTATCTCTTTTGCCAAAGGACCAATAAAAAGGAAAGAATAGAAATAACAGAATATTATTTTGTAAAAATGCACATTTCTTGAGTTTTGGTATTTCCTCAAGACACATGCTCTGCTTTCTTGCACTTGTAGTTAAACAACTCTACTTTTATGAGCTGTTTTTCTTTCTCAAATTGGACTTCAAACATTTCAAATATATGACAATGCTAAAGCATTCCACAAAATAATGAATAAGATGCTCAGATACAATGTTTCTATTAAACCCAATATTAAGATATTACTTACAAAAAAAACAGAAAAAAATTTCAGAAGGGAGACCTATGCTAAAAGGACACCAAATTACCATATACAAATATGAATTATTTGTAATGCATGGCAAAAAGATTATTATGTTCCACAACCAAGATTTAATACTTTGGTCTATTACATACCATGATCTGGCAACTGTCATAACAAAAAACATTACAAAGATTCCTCATATCAGTATTTTTACGTAGCTTATATAATCTGACTGTGATATTAATTCAAAAGCCTACACTGTAAAAGTAAAGATGACTAACATATATATGTCTTTTACTATTGCTGATCTATGATAAACACTGTTAACAGTTCCTTTAAGGATTATTGGCTCCAATTCTTCAAAGGAAATTTAAGAAAACTGTGATAAATTTGGACTCTGAATTCTTTATTTTAAAAAGTACCTTCATCACAAAAGTTAAGAATATTATTTTAAGATACAGTCTCCCCTTATAACTTAGAATTAGGAAAAAGCAATCTCAAATGCTCTATGTCAATTATTGAGCAGATTCTTTTCCCATTTTATAAATTAAGTCAAATGACATAAAACTTATTAAAAACAAAAACATCATCAACCAAGTTTCTACATGTCACTTCTAATTGAGACATGTTGAAATACCAAAACTAGAAAACCATATTGCCATTGAGAAAATAAAAGTTGAATTTTAAAGTCTTTCTTGTTTTGGCAGATTTTTTTTTTTTAATGAGATGAGAAAATTATGTTAAACTTAAAACTTCAGCTAAAGCATTAGTTTTTAGCTGTAATAAAAATGCTAAGAATAGACATTTACGAATACTGAAAACTTGGGGAATAATAAACAAAGCAGAATTCATGGTTACCATATTTACACATACTCTTTGTTGTGTTTCAGTGCCACATGATCTGATTCAAAGTAATAAACATCAGGATCATCATCTTCCTCTTCTGTAATGTGCGGATTGGCACTCTCTTTGGCAGACGGCAAATTTCCAATATTGAGTCTTGCCTCCGAGGGTGGCTTACTTTGTCCTTCACTCCCATAATTTTCAGAGTCACAACATATCCCTTTATCATTCTGAGAAACTTCATCAGGATTTGTGGGAGACTCACTTATATTATCACTAACAGTTACATTTGTTTCATTGGGACTCAGATTATTCTCCTCCAATTGTCCATTTTCTCTGCAAGGAGAACTGTTTTTTGTGGGACTACTTCTGGTAGGGGCCGCCCTTCGTGGTGAAGTTCTCAGAGTATATCGGTGTTCTTGAGGTTCTGATAAAGACATCGTTTGAGCTGACACACCGTCTAGAACAGAAGATGGTTCCAGTTCTCCGGAGTCTGGCATACTCTCAAGTCTTGTGTCCAGGGCGTTGTTGGTATTTTCATTACACTGCTCTTTTGAGGCACTGCTATCTCCCACCACATCTACTTCCTCCTCAGAATCCCTTAAAGACGACTGAATTTCAGGAAATGGGCCTGTAGCTGGCTCAGTCGTCAGCTGATTAACATGCTCCACAGGCAGGCAGGCAGTTACTCTTTTGTGGTCCTCCAACTTGACCTGCACTTCTGAATTCGTGCAAGGCACGTTATGGTCTATATAACTGTCCTCCTTCCTACTGTCAAGAAACACTGAAGTGTGGGTGTCCGAATCCCCATTTTCAGCTACTGATTTTTCCTGCAACGGGTAGGAACCAGTGCTGTTTTGTTTAGTGTTCCCATCAGGCTGACAGTCATCAGAGTTTACACCAGCTGAATCACTGTCATCAACACCATTGACAGCCAAATAGCCTGTGATTTCTTCAACTACTGCAGAATTAAGTGGCCCCTCCTCACTGACATTCACCTTTTTAATTTCCCTTTTCTCACAATCATCCAGTATAAGACATCGACAAGCTCGTTTAGTCCCTTGAAAATCTGCATCATTGTCCACTACTGTACTTCTCTGTTCTGCTGACTCCTTGTCTGATTTTACAGGTGAATCTTCTTCTGAACTGTTTGGTGCTTCAGATCTAAGACAACGCTTAATTCTTTTTAAAACTGGTGAAACAGGTTCTGTTTGCCTTTTCTCACAATTTTCTACAGACTGCCTTTCTATATTATCTTTTTCTGAAGAAAGTCTTCTTTTCCTAGGGCTTACCCATGACTCTCGAGTACTTTGCTGTTTTAAATCAGTAGTTCTCCCACTATTATTTCCCTTCTGAATTTGCACAGGCTCTGGTCTCTTCTTTGGTGATCTTGATCGTACTTGAGAATGAGAAGAGATTTCTTCAGGGTGAGCAATGCTACGATTTCTTAAAGTTCTACCACAAAAAGATTCATCCAAGCCGTTTAACCCCACTGTTGATCTTGTAACACGAGTAGATCGGGAAGCAGCCATACTATGGCAAGTCCCTACAATACGGTCATCATGATCCACTCATTGGGAAACCTTCAAAAATGTAAACAAAATAATGAGAAAAAGGTAATAGTTAATATACCTAAAACAAAGGTATAAAGCCACAATTTTTAATCCAAGTATTGCCAATATTAACAAATTACTTGACATAATTTATTAACATTTCCAAAAAATGCTATTAATAATAACTAACCATTCATTATATGACAGTTAATATGTTCCAGGAATCATTCTATATGCTCTTTATACATTAACTCACTTAAATCTCATAACAACTAGAATAGGTGCTATTATCATCCCTACTTTACAAATGAAGGGATTGAGCCACACACATTTTAATTTATCATCCAAAGCCACCCAGCTAAGTGGCAGGGCAGGGCTCTAGAGACGAAGCTCAACCTGCCTCACTGTGTATCTGCCTCTCAGGCTTGGGCACAAAGGGCCCAGAAAGACCTCTCTCAAAGACAGGATTTCATCTTGGTTATTAAAATGATAACCTTGAATTTATGTAGAAGCTACCAAAAAACTATCCCAATCATTTCTTATGTTTTCTCAAAATATTTCTGGGACGTAAAAAGGTAGAAACTGCTCTTTTTAATTCATTCTTACTACAAGGAGTTTCAGGTCAAATCCTTTGATAACAAACTATATGGCATCCAAAAAATTTTGATTGCAGTAGAATGTTTTTGTAAAGCAGACTGATAGAAATCACAATCTTAGCTTGCAGTGGGCTAAGGGCAAAACATAGAAAAGCCAAGCCTCCCTAGTTCCTAGAAGTAGAGCTATAAGTAGCAAGTAAAACAAAGTATTCTAAAGAGGATTAGAAGACAAAGGAAAGAAGCCCCTGAAGCAAATACTGAAGAAATCAGGAGTATACTTATAACCCCATCCTTTCCTTCTTTGAACTCCTATATATGTGAGTATGCCACAGTTTTAAATTGTATTGGGGAGATGAGCATTTTCTGGTGTGAATGCTTGGTATTCCTAAAATAAATATGTAAGAAAAATTGAAAAAACTTTGAGGGATTTAGTGGTTATTTCCCAAAGGCTCTCTCATGGAGCAGAATAAAGGAGCTGTTAACATTTTAAGTCTCCATTCTTCTGCTCCTCTGTTTAGCTTTCATAAGATACTTTGCCACTTCACTGTCTAACTTCTAACTGGGGTGCAGGATAGACAGAAAAAGAAGTAAAAAATGGCTGTGGTACAAAGTTTCTCAGCGTCTCTCTCCCCTCTCCCTCTTCCTCTCTGCCATCCTTCAGCCTTCCTCTAACCCCCCAAATGCCATTCTACCCCTACCACCGCAAATCAAATACAATTTGTTCTTTGTCTCAATTGGAAGTATGTAACAGGAAAGGTTATGAAGGACCATAGAATACACAGTAACTGTTATCACAAACAGAAAGAGAAACATTAAAAGCAACTGTCTTACTGTTCCTGCCTGTTGGCAAATGAACTGAGTGAGAAAGTACCCAGTAACATATTGAATGTAAGTTGGTTGAATGTAGTTTTGTTTCAGAGTATGGCATACTTTTAAATTTCTAATTAATTTTTAAAAATTTTACAACAATCATAAAACCAGTTCTGGGATTAAAGCATGAAAATTTGTTCTAGAGAATTTCATAGCAATCACATGAATAAGTGTGAGATGCCAATCAGAACTTAGAAATACATTTCTCACAGTAAACTTTTACTGTTTTGGGATTCATTAGAGGAACCTGACATGTAATTCTCTTTTGTTAAAATCATATTAAGATTACATTCTCTTATTTTTATTCAGATATAATAAACACTGTATGACCCATAAATATCCACTTTTAATTACAAAAAATTTTAATTTTGAATGTTTCAAAAAAGCACAAACTAAAAAATTTAATATAATTTATTTTTCTCATATACCCAAACTTGGACCTCTCAATCTTAAAGGTGACTGATTTTTAAATATTAAATACCTATGTAAATATGCAAAGAAAACAAATGAATTATAAAACCAAATGCAAATATCATTGATGCAAATTTGATTATACTCATGATTTATGGCTCAAATATAATATTGAAAATAGTAACATTTAACAAACACACAGAAAAAAACCTGGTAATCTTTACTTTTTAAAATGTGATGCCAAGTAAGGGCATATAAATCACAAATGATTCCAATGAACATTCCTAGCCCTTCTTTCTATGTTAATCTGAATAAGAGCAAAATCTCTGCATTGTCCTTATTAATAAAATAAGCATATTAGTAGTAGTAGTACCCAGAAGTACTATAAATATATATATAATTATAAAACACCACAGGTTAGGGCAGTGATGGCGAACCTATGACACGTGTGTCAGAGGTGACACGCGAACTAAAAATATAAGTCTTTGTTTTACTATGGTTGCAAATATCAAAAAATTTCTATATGTGACACGGCACCAGAGTTAAGTTAGGGTTTTTCAAAATGCTGACACACCGAGCTCAAAAGGTTCGCCATCACTGGGTTAGGGCCTATTTTATTTCCCCACCATCCAGTGATCAAAACACTGATTAATAGGAAAGATTAAACCTTTTTGTTTCTTTTACTAAAAATGTTTTTATTCCATTCAATAATTACAATGAAGTCCAAGTTTTACAGTTCTCAAATCCTGTGCTATTGGGCCATATTTAAAGTGAAACTGGTTTTATAACAAAGACCTTTTGGTATCTCAAATTTTTGCAATTCAAAGTGTAGCCTGAGGACCAGCATCATGGGCATCTCCTGCAAGCTTATTAGAAATGCATAATATCAGGCCCTGCCCCAGACTTACCAATTAATCAGATTCCCAGGTAATTTATATATCTCTGAGGGGTTTAAGAAGCAGTGCCTTAAGACTACTACATCCAGACAGTATTATATTAAAATGACAGTGTCATCAAGTTTCAAACTAAATTAGACTTATTTATAATATATCCTCCGATTCCTTATTTGATACCAATAATAAAAAAAATTTATAAAGCCATAATCTCTTTGGCAAAGGAAGCACCAAATAGAGGATTGTAAAAATCTCTTGCCTGAAATTAACATAAGGTAATAAATTGCTTAAAATTCTGAGGACTAGAGTTAAACGATAACTTTAATATTTTTATTTTATTTATTTTTAAAGATTTTTTTAAACATTTATTTTTAGAGAGAGAGGAAGGGAGAAAAAGAGTGAGAGAAGCATCAACGTGAGAGCAAAACATCGATTGGCTGCCTCCTGCACGTACCTCACTGGGGATTAAGCCCAAAACCCAGGCATGTCCCCTGACCGGGAATTGAACCCGTGACCTTTGAATGCACAGGACAATACCCAACCGAGCCACACTGGCCAGTGCAAGTTAAATGATGTTATAATATTCTTCCCTCTCATGATCTTTCTTCTGTTCTACCTTTTTTCTTTACCTTTTCTACTTTGGACAGGCATTCATAAAGGCATACACTTTCTGTAGTTACCTGATAAACTGAGTACAAAATTCAGTGACGAGAAAGGGACAAAAGAAAGTCCTGATTCTCTCAACCAAACCTCAACATGATTTTGCCATGGTTAGCAAAGTATTATAGACTAAAGCAATTGTTTCCTTCATTTTAGCTGCATAATACAGTTACTGAAGAAATTCAGAGAATTTCTTTGGAGCACAAAATTGTATTTCTGACAAAATTTAAGTTGCTAAAGGAACAGAAAGAAACTCAGTTATAAAACAGTATCTCAGAAAAGACTCTTTGCTAGGTAATGAAATAGGAGGCACGAGATGAAATCCTTAGCCAGCACCCTACTGGAACTGAAAATTCAATCACTTTAGTTTTAGAATTAAAGGAAACTGTTAGTTAACATATTCATCTGAACAAAACCCAATCTAGCAACTAGAACAAAGTTTTCCCTATATGTTATCCACCACTAATGAATATGATGACACTTTCTAGAATACAGAGAAAAGAATGTACGAATCATTAGAATTAAATTGACTCCCTTCCTCTTTTGTACCATCATAAAGTTTTCAACCTATTGGAGGGGCTTATCTGAGAAGGGCAGCTATCAACCAAATTTCAGCCTCTCCTTTCATATTAAGCCCAAAATTACCCCAAATTCCACATATCTCACTCATTTATTTTCTGTTGGAACTACTCTTCCCCCAATTTGAATATACTTTTATCTAAAATTTAATAGGGTTCTAAAACAGTATTAGCTATGTTTCAGATCATAAATTTCTAGCCCTTGTGAACACCTCAGAAGTACATCAATAAGAACTGAAAGGAATAATAAAGATTAAACTAAAATGGTCCACCTAATGCAACACTACTCCAGCTATCACCTTTACTTAAGAAGAAGAAACCTCAAGATGATATTTCAAAGACACTGCCTGTAACTTTTTGTTCCTACTATAATTATCAAAGTAGAACAGTTCATTTTGGGGATTGAGGGACTGGTAATCAATTCTCCATTAATAACAATGTTCTAGCTGATATTTATTACAATAATATTTAGTTTTTTGAATGAATAATGTTTAAGAAACTGGTCATGATACCAGGTAGACAAACCAAAGTGAAAAGCAAAAAAGAACAACTGAAAAATGTAATGAATATGGTTATTTTTCTTTCTGTCTAGAACAGTGATTTTCAGACAGATAGTTCTTAGGGGGGAAGAGGAGTCAAGGGGGTAGAGAGAGTAAGAAAAAAAAAGAAAGAACTCATGGAGAGGGACAATTATGTGGTGATTGCAGGAGGGAGGGATGGATGAAGGTGGAAAAGGGAGTGGGGGGATAAATGGTGATGAAAAAATAAAATAAAGGAATTTTTAAAACACTCAAACCTGACTATTTAGTTAGGGGCACTGACCTCTTTTCCCTTAGATTGTCAAACTAAGGGATGAAAACAGCCAACAGGACAATAGCTGTTCATTATAGATGAATCAAAATTACACCTATTTTTTTGTCAGACTGCAAAAAAAAAAAAATAGTTTTTGGTATGCCGCAGAATTTTAGTAATTAGTTTATGTGTGCCATGGGGTGAAAAGGGTTAAAAATCGCTGGTTGAGAACATGAGAATGAACTGTTTAATAATAGTTCAGACTATCCTTGTCACACAATTCTTTTAAGACACATTTCTTCAGCCAAGCAATTACCACTATTTCTATCAGGTTAAAAGTATCTATAAGGTTAAAAGTAGGAGAGTGAAACCTGGGAACCACCTATGCAATTCAACTTATTCTTAATATTCACCTCCCTGAAGCTTGGTAACTCTGTTATGGATTGCCTTGCATAAAAGATCTCCTCTTTCCCATTAAGAGAAACAGATATATGATAGATGATAGACGGATAGAGCTGAATGAATACCCACTCAAAGTGACAACAGGGAACAAAGAGAAGTAAAGAAATTTCATAATGCCCTTGAATCAAAAATACATAGGGTGTCAAATATGCTCTAGAGATTGCAATGTATTCGTCACTTCATTTATGCTCCTGTTGGAAAAAGAGAAAATATTTCATCCCCATCCCATTCCCTATAGCTCCACATTCCTATGAACTGTATAATTTTCCATGCAGAGTATAGACAAATAAGCTCCCCCCTCAAAAAAAAAAAAAATCAATCTGTAGATATCTTCACTACTGCAAAACTAAATAACTTACCTGTACAACCAAAGATCTATCATTGTGGAAATATTATCTCTTTTCCTTATATCCTGAAGGAGTTGGAGCTATGATCTAGAATAGAGCTTAAGCATCAGGATTTCAGACTCTCAGCTTCAGCCATGGAGAATACTAGAACCTCCTAAATTCCTTTCTTTAAAATAAAATAATGAAAAAAATTAAAGAAGCAAATTAACTCATGCTAATAGATACACTCCTTCTACAATAAGAGGAAATAGCAAGTAACAGAATATCTGTCCACAGTAATATTGTTGGTACTTCTTGGTGACTTTGTAGCCTCAGAGATACTCAGAAACTGGAAAAAATCTTTAGGAACCAACAACAAAAACAGAAAAGCTTAACATATACTAAATCCTTGCAACAACTCAATATTAGTTTGAGTCAAATTTTGACTCAGTTCTTTTTCTGAGTCTCAGGCAGTATTTTTTGGAGATGACCTAAAGACTGCCCATGATACAAGTCCTCATACAGAATCTATAAACTCTTATTCTAAGAGCCTTTCCCAAATTTTAGCCTTCATATACAAAACTGGGAATTGAACAAGAAAAATAATTTAGGTTATGCACACCAACTAATCAACCAAGTCTTCTATATCTACATGATAACCTTGATGATTATTAAAGTGATACAAGACTATTATAAAAGGAAATTTCTATTATTTTGGCATATGGATTTTCAACAAGGACAAAACCAATAAGGATTTTCTGGTTTTAGTACCCAGTTGGCCAGATATTTTAATTACCTTAATTAAATTCCATTTCTTGGTCAGTTTGGCTAATTACAGTTTTATTTTATAATAATGTATTATGATATCTTTTTCAGAGAATCTGACTAAAATGAATTATTATGAATGTCCATTTGGAAACAAGGAGAAAGACCAGGAAAAAGACTAGTGATGTTTATGATGGAAATTGTCACTTTATTATAAACATAAAACTAAACATTCTAAAAGTGCCACTATTTTCGGTGAAGGTTTACTTTTTAAAACTAATGCAATTTATCAAGCTTTGTAAACCAGAGTCACTGCTTAGTAAAATTAGATAATGTTTTAGTCAGCTAGGAAGTGAACAGGGTTGATATCTAATTATCAGTAGACACAACCTCTCCCAAATATGCCTTGTAAATTATTAAAAAGTAAAAGGTAGGAAAATTAACTAAGTAAAATAACTTAATACTACATTTAAATAAAATGTTTGAAATTAACATGAGGAAGGTTAACAGTGAAATTAACAGTAAAAACATGGTCCTATAAAAAGTAACCCTTAACATGAAAATTCACTCTTCTTAAAGCAAAGATTCCAACTGCCAACTCCTTTGTACCCAACCCTGAAAACCTTTCACAAACATGACAAAACATTACATTCTATAGTGCATGGTGGTGATGGCAATCATAAGAGACAAAGAGGATCCACAATATAAGATGTGTCTTGAGTATACACTGATACACCAAATCTAGCATTCTATCAAATTCTAGTCAGCCAGGTTACTATCTTTTTGTATAGGATTTGCTATAGGAACATCATCCATTATGATATTTACCAGGCAAGGACATCTGCAACTGTTATTTCCACAGAAGAACTGATATTTACAGCTGAGTTCTCTACAAGTATTAAAATAGGATCATGCAGATGTGTTTCTAAATAGTCTCATACAATGAAAAACAAACTTTAGTCAATTACTTCTACTAATACTACAGCCTGCTTAGCCTTAATTAAGATTACATTTTTCTTACCTTTTTGAAAGTGTTTCGCCTAGTATGTGATTCCCAAGCGTCTGCATTTATCTGTCATCACTGTTAATGTCCATGTTACATTTAGACTTCAGGTATTAATTATTTATATGGTTGTACTAGCACAACTTGGTATCTGTGAAGGGAAACCACAATATAGTCACTATGGATGTGTTACTGTTTACAGATTTGGGGATAAAACTGATAATTCTAAGCACACAGCACAATGCATTTTCTAATAAATTACAAAAAATTCCTTATATTTAGCTACAAAATGTGTTATATTCAATGATAGATGATTTGCTAATAAAGGTCTTACAAATGCTTCTCAGAGTACCAATATAAAATACTTCAAAATTTAACCTGAAATTAAAATTCTTACAAATTTGAAACTCCTTAGATTCCTTTTGACTACCAACATAAATATACATCATTTTCCAGAAGTCTGTAACTTCTCAAACATTACTAGAAAAGTATTAATTTTTTGTTTTATAATAATATTAGGGAATAAACTTATAATGCTTATTAATGAAGTAAAAAGGATCCCTTAAATGTGACTTTAATACTGTCAATGCCTTTTAAAGTAATATTTTTGCTTTGGTTAGATTATTCCTGTGACGAATTTGTCAACATTATTTTGAAAGTAAATATAAAATAAATATGACCAAATAAATTAAGAAGTAAACCAAGATGTAACTGTACAAAAAAAAAATTCTTTAAAAGTAAGCTTCTTAAAAACACAGACTTGATTCTAGATCACAAGTCTGAAAAACACATTGATGTGCTTACAATGAAGAAAAGCATTATAAACTTATTCATATATATCAAAGAGAGAAACCTATGAATGGCATTCTGGAATGATTCACTATGGTGTGCCATTCCAAAATTCTGTCTAATAAAAACAAAGAGTAAAAATCTACCAAGAAAATTCAGATAGCCTTAGGCTGTTTCTTGGATAAAATGTGTTACTGGAGTTGTCAACCTGCCAAAGTTTTCATTAACCATAGAGTAGAAACCAATATAATCGTATATAATAAAAGCCTAATATGCTTGCTAAGTGTCTGGTTGACCGGTTGGCCGTTCAACCATTCAAAGTGTCATATGCTAATGATACGCTAAGGCCATCAACCGCTCGCTATGATGTGCACTGACTACCAGGGGGCAGACAGTCGACCAGTTGACCAGTAGCTATGATGTGCACTGACCATCAGGAGGGCAGATGCTCTGACCGGTGGGTTAGCTTGCTGCTGGGGTCTGGCCAATCGGGACTGAGGGAGATGGGCTGGACACGCCCTGGGGCCCTCCCAC